ACCCATTCTACTCAATATTTTAGATTTACAAAAGAAAACCAGTAAGGTTACACTTTAAAAAGCCACTTAGCTGCACCCCTGCTATGAGATCCCACACACAGGTTTCTCCAAGGTTGGCTGTGAATTTTGCTGTTTGTTTATTTTTCTTAGAATGAACTCCAAGGTCCAAAGATACTTGAAAACAGACAGCAAAGGCAGCAACTGTGTAGATTACTGCTGTGGCCAAATTTAGTTCTAACTCCATTTACAAATTTGCTGATGACGCCACCGTAGATGGTTGGATCTCAAACAATGACGAGACTGAGTATAGGAAAGAGATAGAGTCTTTAGCGGCAAGGTGTAAAGACAACAATCTCTCCCTCAATGTCGGCAAAATGAATGGGCTGGTCATCGACTTCAGGAAGCGGAGTAGAGGACACGCCCTTGTCTGTAAAACTGGTGGTGAGGTGGAGGTGGTCGTGGACTTAAATTTCTTCGGAGTGAATATCACCAACGATGTATCCTGGTTTATCAATATTGTCGCTACAGTCAAGAAAACACAATTACGCTTCTACTCCCTCAGAAAGCTAAGGAAATTTGGCAAGTCCACAATGACTGTTACAAATTTTTATTGATGCACCATGAAAAGCATCATGTATCACAGCTTGGTATGGCAACTGCTCTGCCCAAGACCACAAGAAAAGAGTTGCAGAGAATTGTGAATGCAGACCAGTCCATCACAAAAACTAGCCTTCCTTCCACTGACTCTGTCTACTCTTCCCGATGCCTCAGGAAAGAAGCCAACATAATCAAAGAGCCCTCCCACTCCGCTTATACTCTCTTCCACCCTCTTCCATTGGACAAAAGATACAAAAGTTTGAAAACAGATTTAAGAACAGCTTCTGGCTCACTTTTATCAGAGTTATGAATGTACCTCTCACATATTAGAGTTGATCTTTCTCTGCACCTTCTCTGTAGCTGCAGCAGTATATTTTGCATTCTGTTCTATTATCCTGATGCACTTATGTAAGGTATAATTTGTGCGGTCAGCACGCAAAACAATACTTTTCATTGTATCTCAGTACATGTGACAATAATAATAAATACATCAAGTTTCAAACCAGAAGAAAGGCTTAAAATGAACCAAGGGAAGAGGCAAAAAACACGACTAAAAGTACAAGTATAACATTTGGAAATGCTGAAAGAAAATGGATAAAGACTTAAAATGTGAAAGCTAATGTATGGAAGATAAAAGAAAGTCATAGGAACTGAGAAAATGTAAATGCAGAAAGGCTAGAGAAGGAATATATCATACAAGAATTCTAACAGAAGGAAGTCAAAACTTTTGGAATAAAATTTCAGCAAAAAAGTGGGATTGATTTCATAAAATTATCATCAGAAGGATTTTCAACAGCTTTATTCTTTCTTTATTATAAAAACATGAAAATTACAGTACTGGTTCATTAATTCTAGGATATAAATGATTGCACTAGAGAAGGCTGTTACGACCAGATCTGAGTGAGGTGCCTCAAGTCATTACAGTTCCAGATGAATATCAGAATCTGTTAAGCTCCCAGGTGAGGAGGGATAAACTTGCTCCCCTTCTTTATTCATCTGGCCCTTCACTTTGTCCTAACAAGGTTAATTTAAAAAGGATCACACCTTTTATGGCTAGCTTTCTCCCAGATGAACTGAAGTTGTTTTAAAAGGAGCCAATTTAACCAGGTTCTCTTAAGTTAATTAAAGAATTAGTTTATTGGTTATTAAGCTTGAAAACAAAAAATAATGCAAGACATATACCCACAACAGGAATAAGTACTTGCTTTTAAAAGTCAGTAGACATAGGGGTCAGCCTCTCTGGGTGGTTCATGAAGAGTAGATACTTGAACATTGATAGTTAAACAGTCAATTTTGGGATTCTGGGCTTTGCAGTTACTTATCCTTTTGTCCTGTTTCCTCTTGATGGTTGTTGCTTGGTGGATCTCAGAGCAAGAGAGTCTTCTTGTCTTGTTTAATTTGAACAGGCTTGCTGACTAGTTGGTTTCTAGCATTCAGAGCAAGGGAGACCATTTACCTGGAATACATGGGTGAGAACTGTTGGCCCTCAGACTGTGACCTTCACTGTGCACTAGTGCTAGAACCCAGGTTAGGGTATTCATAAATACCCCAGTTCATTAGCTCATTTTCTTCCACTAACACATACAAATCAGATTACAGTCAGTTTTTAACACCTTTCTTGTGCATTCCTGGAAGGGCAAAACACAAAAACCGTTTGCAATGTGGCTTTCTGCTGAGAGGGGAGAGACAGGCAATCGGTACCTCTTCTTGTTATATCTCTCAATTTAAAATTTCCTTGTGCAACAATCCATGGCTCCCCTCAGGACTTTGCCTGACAGCATTGAATTTACATTCATAGTCTTTTTTTTGTCTATATAGTCTTCTGTTAAAGAGCACATTTTGGAATTAAAAATTAAAATGTCCGTAGTATTTGGGGTTCTGATCCGTGGTCACGACAAGATACACATGATGCTTGCAACGTTATTGTCAGGAATGAAGAATTTAGCTAAGTGGAAAGATTAGATAGGCTGAGGGGTTTTTTTTTGAAATAGAAGGGGGTGAACAAACATGTAATGTAGACGTATATGATAATCAGGTGCCTAAAGAAAGTAGCTAAGAAGAACCTATTTCCCTTAGCAGAGAGAGATCAATAACTATGGGGAAATTGGCAGAAGGATCAGTGGAAAGTTGAGGAGAAATTATTTTCACACAGAGGGTCTGCTTCAAGGCTGAAACCTCATCACATTTAATAAATACTTGAATATGGTCTTGAAGTGCCAAACCCATTAGCGTTATTTCCCAGAGCTGGGACATGTGATTAACCTGGATAGCTTTTTTTCAACCAGTACTGACAGGATGTTGACCATTGGCATGCAAAGATATTACATAAAGTCATATGCCTAGACCCCTGAACATATCTTTCAATAACCCTCTTCAAAAATCCTAACATTTCCTTCAACGTGAAGAAAGATATTATGCAGGATAGCTCCAAAGTACAAACCACTTTAATATACCTAATGTCCAAGTCAAATGCCATTTATCTGGCTACTCATCATTAAGTACTCATGAGAACAGCTTTGACAAAAAGATGCATCTCCTGTAGGATGATTTCCCACCAGAATGATCAATGAGTTTCATCTAATTCTGACTCTCATCACTTCAACAAGCTCTCTTCTTACAATAAATCTCCCTCATAGCTGGATGCTGGAACTCACAATGAGTGGAGGGACTGCTAAACAACATCTATCTATGGACCATCCATGATGAAAAAGCCTTTAACTATACAGTTTTATTTTGTAACTCTCTCATTAAAATCTCTCCACCACTTCCTCTCCTTTAAAAGACTTCTCAAAACCGATCTCTATGTTTAAACTTTGATCTCTCCACTTCATCCCTCTCTTCATTGAGTTCAGCATCTAATTCCCTATGCTTAGTTGTTAATTACCTTGGGACAGGTTTTATTTTAAAGATGTTACATGCTGGGTTCATTTATTAGATGTCACAGATGTACTCTTCATTACACCTTTGGTTATCATTGAAAAAAAGAGGACCAAATGCATTCTTCAATCACATTTCAGCACTGTCCTGAAATACCATATCCAGGTTAAATTTGCATCCACAATACATATTGAAATGAATTAAAAACAGGGGCATATATCCCTTTTTACAAATCAATTGCTTGGGCAATGCAAAGTTATAACACATTTATAGAGCACCCAGAATCATATTTTACAAATCAGGTCTCATATCTAGGGCTCTGTGTCTAAAACAATTTGATTACAGTGCAGGACAAGAAGTGGCCACTAAAAATCTAACAACTCTTTTTTTTAATTCACTCATGGGATTGGGGCTTCTCTGGCTAGGCTAGCATTGATTGCCCATTCCCAATTGCCCAGACAGCAGGAAAGAATCAACCACATCGCTGTGGGTCTGGAGACACTTGTAGGCCAGATCAGGTAAGGACAGCAGATTTCTTTCCCCAAACCAGATGGGTATAGATGACCAGATGAAACCACTAGGGTATACAACTTGTCTATGTTGTAGTCAAGAGGTGGCAAAAGAACATCAGTAACAGAAATCCACCACTCAACCCTTTGTGCCTGGACCATCATTTGATATGATGATGGCTGATGTCCACCTCAGGTGCACTTTCCTGATCAACTTATCTTTGTCTGCCTAAGAATCCATCAATCCCTAAGTTCAGTGACACATTATCATTTTTTGATGAGTTATTACCACAAGTAAATTGATGGTACCTGTTTGCTGAATACTGAAAGTGCAACTCAAGCTTATCAGTTATCTAATGACCTCACAAGAGTTGGGTGAATTGGATTCAAGAAAACATTGTTTGTGCAACTGACTTGCACAGATTTAGTGGAATCATCTCCAGCTCTGAATCCTAATACCCAATTTCACTCACTCTGACTTTTCTGGACTCCAAGGATTTTGGCCCACCATGTTAAAAAAGCTTTTAACCACCTAGTTTTATTCTGGAACTCTCTCCTTAAATCTCTCCACTAACCTTCCTTTCCTTTAAAAGATTTCTGAAAATTTATCTCTATGTCTACACTTTAATCTCTCCTCATCATTGGGTTCAGCATGTATTTCCTTATAATTAATTGTGAATTACCTTGGGGCAGTGTTTACATTAAAGATCCTACATAAATACAAGTTGTTGCATGAGGAGGTGCAAAGGTTAAAAAACAACTATCTTTGCTTCACTCTGCAGCTCAAGACTGAAAACTCTACTTTCCTTGTCCATGGTGCACACTTCATATCTCCCACCAAATTTCAATGCAAATATAATTACAACCAAAAAGGTTATTTGCTGTGAACCGAAATAAAAGCAATTTATCCAGATTTGAGTAAGCCAGGAAAATTATGTTTAAAGGGCCTCTCCCTGCCAGCAGATGTCAATGTCTGAGGAGTTTTCAGGGATTTCCTTTGTAAAAACTGCTTTTCCATCCTGAGATGACTGATTGTGAATAGAGAGCTGTCACATCATGTCACAGACACAGGGGCAGATTTACATTTTAACCTAACGGCGGGTGGGCTGGAATATATATTTAAAAAAAAGACCCGAGTAGAAAAACAACTCAGCCTCCCTCCCCCATAACACATTTGCAACAATCACATCATTTCTTCCCAATTAAACGAATCCAGGTACTTAAAGTTGATCTGAGAACGGGACGGAAAGGAGGAGGAGGAAGAGAGGGGAAAGAATAAAAAGCAACGCAGTTTGTGGCATGGTTTGGAGAAGGAAGGGGAAGGCGGAAGTTTGATGCTTTAATTATTTAGAATATATATAAATATATATAGATAAAAGAGGCAGACAGATGTGAGGCGGGTCCACGTGGTTTGTTTCAGACACAGATCTATTGTTCAGATCAATAAAAAGGCAGAGTCTGAGAGGGGGGGGGGGAAGAAAGGGGAAAGAAAGAAAGGAGACAAACCTAAAGGGTTTAAAACCCGGCAGGAGGAGGGGAAAAAGAAAGCAGATACGATTGAGTGACTTTCCATCAAGTTGAGCGGATATTTAATTACTTGGAGCGGCGGATTAAAGGAAAGGAATTAATTTGGCGATCTTCCTACTTTTTTTTTAAAAGAATTGGGGATTTTCTTTCTTTCTTTCTTCCTTTCCCCCCCACCCCCCCCTCCCCAACCACAACCTCCTCGTTGCCTCGGACAAGATGCCTCGCAAGAAGGTGGACAAAAAGAAAACGAAAGGTGGAAGGAAAAGGGAACGAGACTTCAGCGATGAAGAGGACCTGGAGCTGGAGCATCCCGGCAAGAAGATGGGCAAACCCGTCCTTCAGACCGTCAATGAACCGGAGGAGACCAAGGAAAAAATAGTAAGAAAGCTCGGGGCTTTGTGGCGGGGAGGGGACGGAGGGCAACTTCTTTCCACACCCACCCCCCCCCCCCCTCCCCAACATCTCTCGTCTTTCTTTTTTTTTTAAAAAAAAATCATTTAAATCAATCCTTCGACCTGTTTTAATCCTTCAAACAAAGCCCTTTTTTAAAAAAGAAAAATCATACAAATTAAAAGGGAAGCGGTTTCTCAAAAAAGTACCCACTTCCCCCCTTTCGAAAAGTTTATTTTTGAAGAAATTCTCTCCAACGTTTTAAACTTTAAAAGTGCAACTTTTCTTTTTAAAAAAAAAACTTTGTTTTTAAAAAAAAATGTTTCGATGCGCGAACAAAGAAGCCAGGCCCCGCAGAGCGACTCCTTTTTTTTTTCTTAATTGTTTTCATTTTTATTTTGAAGCGAGAGAGAGAGAGAGAAGCCGGTCTGAGTTTCTTTCCATTCTGTGGCTCGGCGTTTTTGTTTTTTTTTCCCCCACGCTGTCTATTATTTTTCGACTTTTAAAAGGAAGGATTGGAGGGTTTAGATTATTTCCACCCGCCGCACACTGACTTTTTTTAAATAAAAAGTGCCAAGACACTGTGTGTTTTGATTTTAAGTTTCTTTTCCCCCTCGAAAAGAATCTGTCTGTGAGGAGGGTTTTGTTTTGTGCGCGAGGGAGAGCCGCGGCCCAGGCAGGCTCCATCGAACGGCCGAGACGGCCTGCGGGAGGGATAATTTTTAAATGATGGAGAGTTTATACAAGTCTAAGCTCCGTTCTCCCTTTTTGGTGTTTGATGGGCGAAGGTTTTTTTTCTGTGGAGGTTTTTTTCGGGGCGGCAGGTGGTGCGGGGACCGAAGCTCTCGACTCGGCCGGGACTCGGGCTTCTGCCTCCGGACTAGGCCGCACGCCGAGCCCGTCTCCTCACCGTGCGGCACTTGTCCCACAACCCGACCTCGGCTTCTCCCCCGGGGGGGGGAGGAAACAAGCGTTGGGTGGGGGAAAATTACACTTATCACCGACGTATTTTCAATTCAAACTTCATTATTTTCCTTTTTGTTAATAAAAAAACTTCTCGCCATAGACGCTTTCTGGTTTTTCTACCTCTTCTAAAATTTTTTTCTTTCTAAAATCCGATGTCGCGGTGAAGAGGTTTGTTTGATTTAACTTACTTTCTTTTTATTTTGAAATTTAAATTTTTTTTTCGTCCGTTTCCGCTGCTCCAATTTCCCGCCATTTCGCGAGCGGCGGGGGCCGGTCACTGCGCGTGCGCCAGTCTCGCCTGTCAATCATCCCTGGATCCCCTGCGGTAGACCGGAGGTGCAAACTGGTGGTGGGAGAGAGAAAATTAGTGTTTAAAAAAAATCCTCCACTAGAAATGCAAAACCTTTGCAACGTTTTAAAGAATGGTGATAAAAGTTGAAATCTCCCAAGGCACGTGGTTAAACTTGAACTCGAGATGCTTTGTGTATATTTCACAAATCGTTGTCTGTCGTCCTTTGTGTACGGTGGAGAATTGCCTCTTTATTGCTAATAATACTGTTCATAATGATTCATGAAACTCTGTTTTACTACAGACCGGGTAGGACAGGAGACATGACACCAGCACTGTCTTTATGTAAACATGACTTATTAAATGTGTATTTGTCCAAACCGTGATTTAGGAACAGAGAGGAGTGGTAAGACTAGCCTACGGGAGGAAGGTGAAACTAGGAAGGTATGAAGCTCTGGTTCCGAAGCCCTGCAAGGTGTAATTTTAAAGCTTGAGATGGTGTAATGGTTTTCAGTATTTCAACACAGTGTGATTGTGGAGGACTGAACTTGGGAATTCAGGGATTGTTCGGCTCAGTTGACTGGATGACTGGTTTACGATGTAGTGTGGTCATGAAGATTCCTTCTTCTCAACCTCTCCATTTGCCTGAGGTGGGGTGACCCTCCGGTTAAACCACCACCAGTCATTTCTGAGAGCAGCCTCATGGCCCTCCTGGGAATGTAGTGCTTTTACGGTCCTGGAGAAGAGGAATATTGAGATGAAAGGTGTATATCTTGGGATTTGGATTTCAAAATAGTGGCAGAAGAATGTGGATAAGTTCTGTGAAGGTAATTATTTTTAAACCAGGACAGGAAGTAATTTGAACACTGACTCAAGCAAACCAGTTCCAAGAGGGCCCCTGACTGCATTCAAGTTCCTGGGAGAAACCCTGTAGTGTTTATGGATAAATATGTTATACTGTTGAGATTATGACTGACAGACTAAATGGACCAGAAAACTATTAGAATTAGTTTTGATTTCAGAACAGAAGGTTCATGGTTTCAGTTCAGAAGAGCCAGGAATTCAAGTCAGTTCCTCAGCATGAAAATTGACTCCCTTTTAAGGGAGTCAGTTATCTCAGCTGAGGAGGTTTCTAGCCTGGAGTTCCCAAACTGGGAAATCTTGGTTTGGAGCTTTTTTTAAATTGTTCAAACTCAAAGGGAGAGAATATTTTTCTGGGATTGAATCTCTGTAACAGGCTGTGTTGGGAAATGGGTTGAAACTTTTTATTTTGATGTTCTTTTTATTAAGTAACATTCACACGAAGCTACGCATATTTGTGACTAACAGTTGTTAACCAACAGCAAAAGTTAAACATGATATATAAACCCAGGCTTCATTCTGGGATTTGCTTTGTCCATTTTTTCATTTGCTGGGATCCTAACATTCACATGCTTTGTTTTTGGAACTTAGGTTGGCTAACAAAAGTTTAAGAGCAATGAAGCAAATCTTGGAGGGAAACAGGATTTCATTGCATAGCCTTGAGCTCTGCATCATCTTTGTGTGTATGTCTGTGAAGCATAGAATTAAAATGTACTCATCTTCCAAAACAGTTGTGTTGTGCAATTCTTCTTGGTAATTAAATATGTTTCCTTGCGAGGTAACAGAATTGATTGGCATAAGGAAAGCATCATTAAACATCTGCCCCTTGTTCAGTATCTTTGACCAACAATTGGGCAAAAGTAGTGAAATGACACAATATAGAGTTATATAGCACGAAAGCAAACCTTTCAGTCCAACCAGTCCATGCCGAACATAATTCCAAACTAAACTAGTCCCACCTGCCTGCTCCTGGCCCATCTCTCCAAACCTTTCCTATTCATATATCCATCCAAATGTCTTTTAAACATTGTAATTTAATTGCTTCCACCACTTCATCAAGTTCTTTCCACATGCAAACTACCCTGTTTTTAAAAAAAAATTGCCTCTTGTGTCTTTTCATTTAAATCTCTCTCCTCTTAAATGTGCCCCCAGTCTTGAAATTCCCCATCTTGGGGAAAAGGCAATTAACATCAACTCTATCCATACCTCTCATTATTTTATAAACTTCTACAAGGTCGCCTGTCTAAGCACCAGTGGAAAAAGTCCCAGCCTATCCAGCCGTTTCTTATAACTCAAACCTTCCATACGTGGCAACATCCTAATAAATCTCTTCAGCTTGTTAATATCCTTCCTATAACTGGGCTCAATATTACAGAAGAGACCTTGCCAACATCCAGTACAACCTCAACATAATGTCCTAACTCCTATACTCAAAAGGACAGAGCAATGAAGGCAAGCGTGCCAAATACCTTTTTAACCATCCTGTCCATATGTGATGCAAACTTCAAAAAATTATGTACCTGCATCTCTAGGTCCTTTGTTCTACAACACTACCCAAGGCCCTACCATTAACTGCATAAACCCTATCCTTGTTGTACCAAAATGTAATACCTTGTATTTATCCAGATTGAACTCTGAACTCTGTCATTTTTCAGCCAATTGACCATTTGATTAAGATCCCTTTGTAGTCTTAGAAAAACTTCTCCACTGTCTACAATGCCATCAATTTTGTTTTCAACTGCAAATTTACTAACCATGCCTTCAATATTCTCATCCAAATCATTTATATAAATGATCAAACAGAAGAGGATCCAGAAAAAATCGCAGTGGAGCACCACTGGTCACAGGCCTCAGTCCAAAAAACAATCCTCCATCGTTACTTTCTGTTTCCTGCCGTTAAGCTAATTATGTATCCATTTGGCAAACTCACCCTGAATCCCATGTGCCCTAACTTTACTAAATAATCTATCATGCGGAACCTTGTCAAATCCAAATAAACAATGTCTACTGCTCTGTCATCAATCTTTTTGGTAACTTTCTCAAAAAACTCAATCAAGTTTGTGAGATATGACTTTCTTCCTACAAAACCATGTTGACTATCCCTAATCAATTTTTGCCTCTAAATGTCCACAAATCCTATCTTTTCTCATCACCTCCAACAATTTACCGTTAACCAAAGTCAGACTCGCAGGTTTGTCCTTCCCCAGTTTCTCCAACATTGGACATTTTCCAGTCATCAGACATCTCACCTGTAGTTATAGATGATGCAAATATTTCTGCAAGGGACCTCGTAATTTCCTCCCTTACTTTCTCAACATGCTGAGATACATCAGATCGGGTCCCAAAGGTTTATCCACTTTTATATTTTGAGACACCTCAAACTTCCTCTTCTGTAATGTGAACTGTTTTAAAGACGAAGTTTAGTTTATTTCAATGTATTTTCTAGACTCCATTTATTTCTCCATGTCAGTTTTTACTGTAATATTCATTTAGTATCGCTCCCATCTCCTGGGGTTCAATGCAGTCCTTAATCCTTAAGAGGCCCACCCCTCTCTCTAGTTATCCTCTTGCTCTTAATGTATTTGTGAAACATCTTTATTATCCTTACCCCTATCTGCCAGTGTGATCTCAGATCCCTCTTTGCCTTCCTGATCTCTGTATTGAATGCCTCTACACTCTTTTTATATTGATTTAAGAGATTCAATTGAACCAAGTTATCTATATCTTTAAAAAACTTCTCTTTATTCTTGACAGCAACCTCTTTTTCTTTATTCATCCATTGTTCCTTAATCTTACTAGCGCTTTCACTCTAACAGGAGCAAAATGCTTCTGACCTCTCGAATGCTTCCCACTTGTCAGACATCCTTTTACT